GATTCGCTTCCGGGCCCTCTCGCCTCCCCCCGCCAGCCCCACCTGTGCTCCCTGGCTCCCCGGGGCTCCCAGGAGATGCTGCAGCCGCCGGCCGGGGCCTTGGGGCACTGAGGGGTCCGGCCCCGCCCGCTCCTCCCCTGGGCCCTCCCCCGCCTCCCGGGAGCATGGTGGTTTTCCCTTGGAGCCCCCTGGCTCTGGACTTCTAGAAGATGCCTGCCATGAGGCTGCTCACTTGCCTCCTGCAGCTGCTGGCTGGGCTGGCGCTGCCGGCCGTGCCCCCCCAGGTAAGGACCGCCGCCCGTCCCCTGGCTCCCCCATCCTCCCATCCCAGCCCGGGGAGGGGGACGCTGAAGTCACAGACTTCTCCCTCCCCCTAGAGCAGAGACTCCAAGGATGTTCACAGCCTCCTGGGGCCAGGCTGGGCCCCATGGAGAGGAAGAGACCTCAGACTGGGCTGCCCCCAGATCCTGGGGGTGCTCGGCGGGGGCAGGGCAGCCACAGGGAGGGAGGTTTCCTGTCTGGCCCCTGGAGCCCTGGTGGCTTTGCTAAAAGCATCTGTCCTCTAATCCCAGGCGGGTGCCTGGCCTTGTGGTCAGGGTCGAGGCCCATGACCAGCCAGGCGTCCCCAGGACCTCTGACCTGGCCCGGAGGGTGGGGAGCGGCGGGAGAGGGAGGCCGAGCCCTGCCCCCACCAGGCTCAGGGCTGAGCTGGGGGCTTCTGGGTGGGCTGGGGCGAGACAAGGGGTCCTGCTGTGCCCTCTCCTGGGTGGGTGGCCGAGGTCCTGAGTGCAGGGCCTGGGGAAGCGAGCAGGGCCCTTTTCCCAGGAGCTGGGTGAGTCTGGCTGGAGGCCAGCTTGGGCAGCGAAGTCCTGACAAAGCTCACGAGCTCTCTTCCCACCACATTACCCCGCTGCCCCAGGAGTCCCCAGCGCAGGCCTAGGAGTGGGTGGGCTGGGCAGTCCCCGGGCCGCTGCTCAGGCCGGCCACCCGCCTGCTGCAGGGCTGGCCAGAGGTGTAACATTACCGCAGCACTGGCTCATGGCGCCACCGCTTCAGCCCTTCAGTTCCCACCAGCTGATCGTCTCCCCTGGGCTCTGGCACCCAGCCAAGGCGGGCTTGCAGGGCCGGCAGGGCCGGCCGGGGGCTGGGCAGAAGGGAGACCCGCAGGATTGCAGGACCTTAAGGGACACAGCCCACCAAGTGTCTCCGAGAGCTTCCGGCCTCTCGCCCTTTTCCAAGTGATGGAACAGACCAGAGAGCCAGGGCACCCATGTAAGGTTCCGTGGGCTTGTCGTTGCACCTGGAAAGAGGCCGCTCTGAGGCCAGCAGAGTGTGCAGGGAGTGGGAGAGGCTCTGAGGACCTCCACCCTCTTGCCGTCACACTTGGCCCAGAGTGCAGAGCCCTGGGCCCTCCCTCACCTCTGCACCTTTCTGTCTGCAGCAGTGGCCCCTGTCTGCTGGGAACGGCTCATCAGAGGTAGAAGGTAAGCCGGTCAGGCTGGGGTGCACGTGCTCACCAAGTCCCTCTCTTTCCTCCCAAGCCTGGGCAGAGGCTAGGAAGGGGTTGGCATGAGGCATGGGCCAAGCTGATGGAAGCTGAAGAGCCTCCTGCTGGGTCTGGTGGGGCCTGAGACATCCCCCCATGTGACCCCGATGCACAGAGGGGCATATTCCTGGGCGAGATCCCCCAGCACACAGAGAGCAGGGCTGGGGCGGGCATGCCCAGGCCCTGTCCAGTTGGCCCAGAGCCCTTTCACGGCATGAAGGAGGGTGCAGATGGGGTGCCTTGGAGGGCAAGGCGGTCAGGGAGATCCAACGGCCGGGGGGGTCCTGGGAGCAGGATGCAGTGGGTCAGGGAGGGACAAGGGGCCCCCCAGCAGCCCAGCCCTGGGGGAGCAGCACGGACCTGATTCGGCCCTTCTATTGATGACAAACAGACAGAGCGTGAGTCGCGTCCTCCCTAGCCCTCCGCTTCCCACCCGGATTGCATCAAGAGGAAATCTTCAAAGGGCAGCGAGACGTTTGCCAAAGGGACATACGTGCAGGAGGCAGGAGGCCCATGCCAGGTCCCCTGCCATGCTCCTCCCTCCCCCCACCTCCCCGAGACGTGCAGAGCGGCCACACACCACTGCTGAGGCTGCTGCTCGTGGGAGGGGGCATGTAGGGACGTGCACACGCACACGCGTGACAGCGAACACTCTCTGCTGTCTTGGCGGCCTTTCCCAGGCCTGCCCATGCTCTGACACGAGGCCCAGGCTCCTTGGCCCCCAAACTGGTGGGAGAAGCAGTGCCCTTGTCTTCACTGGTGCCTCTTGGTGCCCTCTGGAACTGGCACAGTATTGTGCTTTTATCCCTGCCTCCAAGTCGTGTCCTTTTGGATGCTTTCAGTATAGTTTAGGCAATAGCTACCGAGGATGTCTAAGCCTCGGTTTCCGCATCTGTAAAATGGGAGCATTAAATTACATGATATCTAAAATTTCTTCTTCTTCTAAGATTAAAGAAGGGACCCTTTTCTCTGATTCCACAGAGGGAACAGGGTGTATGTATCACCCAGGTTCTGAGGTGAGGAGACTAAGTTCACGAAGTCAGCTAACCTGTCGTCCTAGACAATCAGAGCACCCTTGCTGTGGCCGGAGAAAGTACAAGTACATTGCACCCTGGCTCTCAATCCCTGAAGTGCTGTTCCCTCCTACACCCAAACAGGAGACAGCGTGGCCAGCTCTGCGCTGGTTTTTACTATCACCATCCATGGGGATAGTGCTGGGCATTGTAATTCCATCCTGTCCACAGGCTGTGAGCTAGGCAGGCATTGGATCTGCACATTTTACAGATGCGGAGCTCGAGGCTCTGAGAGTCCCTGGGGTCACCTCAAGTCTCAGACCCTCGCCGGCAGATCCAGCAGAACCAAGTGCCCTAACAGCTCGGCGTCTGAGCAGGCACGAGCAGTGTGTCCCTTGTGACTGACTGGCTGTGTGCTCTGCCAGTGACTGTGGAGAGGACACCTGCCGGGCTGAGGCGTCTGGCCAGCAGCTCTGCCTAGCCCTGAGGCCCCTCCCTGGCGGCCTCTGCAAAAGCTTGCTCTCGGGATTAGACAATTCCTTTCCGGGGTCTCCCTGGGAGGAAGCCAGGCAGGAGGTTTTCCTTCCTACAGGGCGCCTGAGGGAGCCCCAGGAGCTGCCTTAAGGGACTGCCCAGCCCTGGCCACGCCCTGACTGGGCTACAGCCTCCCGTTTCTCCCCACCCTACCCCACCCCCGGGGCAGGTCTGGGCGGGCGGAAATGCTCTCAGGAGCAGCAGTCAGGACTCTTCCCTGAGGTGCTCAGCCCCACCTGGGATTGGCCGCTGCACTCCCTCAACCCGGCCCCCAGTCCAGCCCCTGTGTTTCTCCCACACACCCACTGCCTCTTTCCTGGTGGCTGCTAGGTAAACCGGGTCCTGGCCCACCTCCTCAACCTTCCCCAACACAGTGTGGTGGTGGGGGGGCGCGCTGGGAAAGGGGCAGGTTTCAGGGTTTCAGGGCCCTGGAGTCTGCACGGTGCATTGTGGGGTGAGAAAAGGAAGTCCTTTCTCTGCTGCCAAGGCCCAGCCTGCTCTGCGGCCACCAGCCACAGCCCAACAGCCCACCTGGGTGGGTGTCTGTTGGTGGGATGGCAGGGACCGGGTATCCCTTGGCTGCTGCTGTTCCCTTCCTGATGGCTGGTTCCAGGGCGGGAGCTTGAGCCTGCCATGGTGCTTTGGCAGCTGTTATTTATGTTTTCCAAGGTGGAGATGAAGTGTTCAGAGTCACGTAGCGTTCATGGAGGTTTTAGACTAAACACAGCCCGGGGAGTCTGTGATGGAGTGGTGCTCTGACCCTCATTGCAAAGGCGGCTGCCCTGGGCTTCAGGGCTGCCTCTGGGAGAGAGACCTCTTTTCCCACCTGGGTTCTGGGAAGGATCTGGTGGGCTGGGGAAGCAGAGTCAGGGAGGTCTCTGGAGCCCCTGGCCCGCCCGGTGGCCCCAAGCAGAGCAGGTGGGAGGGAGCAGCAGACACCAGATAAGCACATAAGCACAGTTTACTGCCTCTGAGCAGCCTTGTCCGCTCCGTGAACATGCCGCCTCCTGGGTATTTTCCACCAGCCTGCAGCCTCTCCCGAGGGCCTCTGCTAGGACTGAAGTTTATTTTTCTTCTGAGATTACCCGGAGACTCATGTCCTCTTGGGCTGGTGGAATGGACTTTGGCCCCCTCTGCCTCCAAGGCAGGAAGCAGGGGTTGCTGGGAGAGGCCATCGCTCTGGGGCAGAGGCTGGAGGGCCCCTGGTGGCTGACTCCCCATCTGAAGGCGACCAGAGATGTGGTTGTTCAGGCCCCGGGATGTGTCCCTGCCCATGGTCTCTGGGCTGGGCCAGCTGTGTTGCCTGTGCTGACCACAGACCATTTTTCAAAGCCAGACAAACCTTAGAATCATCTTCTCTCAACCTTCTCCTTTCCCAACTGAGGAAACGGATATACCCAGAAAGGTCAAGTGACTTCCTCAAGCCTACACAGCCAGTGTGGGGACAGGACTAGAAGCCAGGTCTCTGAGCACTCCCTGTGAGCCTCTGTTTGGGGTACAGCTCCAGACCCTCCCCTGAAGGAGCAAAGGCTTTCGGGGAATTCCAGATCAGCCCCCAAAAGATCCCATTCATGACCACCAGGACATCATGAAGGTCTGGGGTCCCCGATAATTCTCGGTGAACTGTCATCTCATTAACCAGATATAGCTTAGCCTGTGTCCTGGGTGCCTCTGTCCCTGTGCTCATAGAGCCTTGAGTTGGTCGTAAAGTAGGTAAGAGCAGCCATTGAGGAGATAAGGCCCTTGGGGCCACACAGTGCTCAGGGCAGCACATCTGTTCACAGTGGCTTCTGAGGGGAGGCGGGAGGTGGGCCTTGAGAAGTGGGGTGGGCTGTATTGGGGTAGAAATGAAAAGAGAGTGTAGCCCAGTAGCCGTGTGGACCCCAAAGTGCATGAGCCTGGGGCTAGACTCAACTTGGGGCTATCCTGGCCCGTGTGAGGCCAGACTTGCTGGAGGGTAGGGGAGAGTACGCTGTTGGGCATGGTCCTGGGCCCAGTGGAGGAGCTGGCAGAGGGGTAGGAGGTGAGGGAGCCATGGAAGGTGTTTGGGTGGAGGATGGAGGGACACCATCTGTTTGCTGCAAGTTCCCAAGGCAGAGGAAGCGCCAGACTGGACCTGAGAAAGACCCAGGGGGCCCAGGAGCTGCCAGGCCACCCTCTTCAAAGTTCCAATGGAGACGTGGGTGTCTGAGTTGAGAACAGAGCAGAGCTCAGGGCACTGAGAGATTCGTTTAGCAGGATTTCCATCCAGCAGATGAGCTAAGGGTCCAGCCAGCATCCCAGAGTGGCCCCATCGGAAGTTCAGAGCAAAGGGAGTGCAGACAAGGCTTCGACCTTCCTGGACGGAACTGTGGGTTGTGGGCCGAACCTGGACCGGCTCGCAGGGCCTGGGAGCCAGGTCTGGGGTTTCCAGGAGCAGGTCTCTGCTGGCCTGACCTGGCCCTCTGCGTCCTTGCAGTGGTGCCCTTCCAGGAAGTGTGGGGCCGCAGCTATTGCCGGCCGCTGGAGAGGCTGGTGGACATTGTGTCTGAGTACCCCGGCGAGGTGGAACACATGTTCAGCCCATCCTGCGTCCCCCTGCTGCGCTGCACCGGCTGCTGTGGTGATGAGGACCTGCACTGCGTGCCGGTGGAGACGGCCAATGTCACCATGCAGGTAGGGAGGCCCCGCCCACAGCTCACACCCCACTGAGGGGGGACATAGAGCCTGCCCACCGGAAGGACCAGAGGGCTGGAGGCTCTCAGGCCGGTGCTCTCACCACCCCTGCTCAGGGAGGTGGAGGTGGAAAGGGAGCAGGAAAATGAAGGAAGCAGAGCCAGTTTCAAAAAACAATCGCGGCCTCTTCTCTGGCCCAGTAAGCTAATGACCAGTAGGGACCCCATGACACGGAGCTATCTCCCAAAGCACACACACACTCAACCTCTGCATCCTCTGACTCAGACACAACCTCTGCATCTCCTGGCCCCTTCCCAGCCCCTCGGCACCACCTCGGCCACTTGTTCAGCCTCTGGTCCAGCCCGTCCCAAGATGCAGGTGTCTGGTTGTGGTTGGAAGGGAGGCTTGCTTGTTTTAAAGAAGTCCTGGATAGCCGGGCTCGGTGGCTCAGCCTGTAATTCCACGCCTTTGGGAGGCTGAGGTGAGTGGATTGCCTGAGTCTGCGGGTTCGAGATCCACCTGGGCAACTTGGCGAGACCTCATCTCTACAATAAATCAAAAAAAAAAAGAAAGTTGATCTGAAAGAGCCGGGCTTGGTGGCTCAGTCTGTAATCCCGTGCCTTGGGAGGCTGAGGTGAGTGGATTGCCTGAGCCCGCGGGTTCGAGACCCGCCTGGGCAGCAAGACCTCATCTCTACAATAAATCAAAAAATCAGCCGGGCGTGGTAGCGCGCACCTGTAATTTCGGCTACTCGGAAGGCTGAGGCGGAAGGATCGCCGGAGCCCAGCAGGTCGAGGCTGCGGTGGCCAGGAGCGGCCACTGCACTCCAGTCTGGGCGACAGAGTGAGACTCCAACACACACAAAAAAAAAAATTAGCCGGGCGTGATAGAGTGCGCCTGTAGTTCCAACTACTTGGAAGGCTGAGGTGGAAGGATCGCCGGACCCCAGCAGGTAGAGTCTGGGCTCCAGTCTGGGCGACAGAGTGAGACTCCAACTCAAAAAAAAAAAAAAATACAGAAGTCCTGGTTTACACGGTGAGCATTTGAGGCCTTCTCAGCAAGCTGGATCCCTGAGGTTTGCTTGCATGCACACATGCACGCGCGCGTGCACACACACGTGCACACAGTGGTTCAGTGAGCACTTACTGAGCAATGCCATGTCCCAGGCATGCCACAAATGTTGTCTCATTTCATCCTTGGAGGCAGGTTTCATGTCCATTTCATAGATGAGGAACCTGAGGCTCAGAGCTGTTATTTCATGTGTTCAGTGGGTGGAAGAATGGAGATTTGAACACAGGTCTCTCTAACTCCAAAACATGGCCCCTTCCTCCACTGTTGTGTGGTGCCTTGGGTGGGGAGGGACGGGTCTCCTCAGATCTACCCATGGGTGGGAGATCTGTTTGCCCACTTTCTGCAAGGATGGGGGCTTGCAGTACAGCAACAGGGAAGAGGTGGAGGGCTTAGTTCTCCCCACCAGGAGGGAGCAGAGAGGGTGCTGGAAGCACATGGCCCCTTCAATCCAGGCACCCCGCTCCTTCTTCCTCAGGTCCTGAAGTTCCGCTCTGGGGACCGACCCTCCTACGTGGAGTTGACGTTCTCCCAGCATGTGCACTGCGAGTGCCGGTAGGTCCTGGGACAGGGACGGGCCCCTGCAGGCAGCTCTTTCTTCCAGGCCGAGGGGGCTGGAGAAGGCAGGGGCTGGGGCAACTGCCATTCATTTTGTGCCCCCAGCCGCCGGTGTTGCCTGGGAGCTGGTCCCAGCAGCTGGAGTACAGCTGTCGGTGCCACAGGGGAGAGGGAGCTGGGGTCCCTCCCGGACGTGCATGGTCTCAGGATGTGCAGGGTCCCAGGGCTCGTCAGCCTCCTTCCCAGAGAGGGAGGCGGCTGCCAAGACCTCTGGAAGAGGTGTCTGGAGCAAAGATGCTGCACGTCTGCACCTAGTTCTGGGCCAGGCTGCCCACGGGAGGGTCTGAGTGGGTGGAGAAGTGGAAAGACAGACAAGCCCTGGCGGGAGGAAGGGGCAGAAAAAGGGCACTGGGATTTCCTTAAAGTGGCAGCACCCGCCAGCCCCCTTCCCAGCCTTACTGCCTGTGCCCGGGCACTCGAGACATTTGTTACGGCCAGCCAGATTAGGGAAGAGAGAACAGGCTGAGATGCCGCTCCTGGTGATGCTGGGCCGTGGATGAGGCAGCAGACCCGAGGAGCAGAGCCCCAGCCAGGGGCAGGAGGGGGAGCGCTCCGTTCGTTGTGTCTGGCCCCCCAGTAGGTACTTGAGTGTGTTTCCTCATTTATTCACATGCAGTTATTGAGCACCTACTGCAGGCCAGGCACAGTCCTGCTCACAGACAAAGTTTCTGCTCTCATAACAGCCCTAGGAAGGGGGTATTGTCGTCACCCCCATTTTACAGAGGAGTAAACCAAAGCTTGATACATTTCATGATCTGCCATAGTGAGTGTGGTAGAAGGGACAAGCCCTGGCCTGTCTCACTCCCCAAGCCTGCCCTTTTCCAGGCTACCTCTCGTGGCCATTGCCACATTCTCTAACAGCCCCTGGGCTTGGCATTCATGGTTCAAAGCTGTTATTTTGTGTGTTCAGTGGGTGGAAGAGAGGCGATTTGAACACAGGTCTCTCTGATCTGTGTGCAGGACGAGGGCTGCCTCTGCTGGAGCTGGGCCCAGGCCGTAGGCTCTGTTCGTGGTGCCTGTGTCGGGGCGCTGCCTCGACCTGCTTCTTCCTGTCCTTCCCAGCCAGAGCCCAGCCACATGGCAGCAGCTCAGCAATGCGCTCTCCCGAGCACAGTGCTGGACGGTGACCCAAAGTCACCTTCTATGTCCTCTTGCTCTGACAGCCACTCTTTTGGGGTAGGCAGATGAGGAAACTGAGGTTCTAAGAGACTTGCCCAGTATGGAAGGGTACGAACCAGACAGTCCCAAGAGACGTTGGCACCGCCCCGGCTCCCAGGGGAGCATGCCTCAGGCAGCCTGCCCCGACCCCAGAGCCGACTGCCCCGCACATGCTGTCCCGCACATCTGCCCACAGTGCCCAGGGGAGAGTGAGACCGTGTCCCTTCCAGCCTGCCGGGCCACAGAGACACCTTTCATCTCACTTCTGGGCCAACAGCCCCAGCCCCGGGACGCAGAGCCCAGACATGCCCAGGGACCTCGGGGCTTGTGCTGTCCTCCAGCCCTGCCCCTCACTCACGCCCTGTGGCTCTGGGGGGGATTGCGCCCTGACCGCGGCCAGTCCATGGCCTTGCGTCACTCGCCGTCCCGGAGGAGACTCCAGGATGCGCCCTGGAGGGAAGGGAAGGAAGTGGACAGAGAAAGCCAAGCAGCGAAGAACAGACTAAGGAGACCTCAGATGAGACACCGAGAGGCTGAGGAGTGCAGAGGGCGTGGCGGGGGCCCAGGAGGGAGTCCCTGCTTGGTGGGGTCACGGGAACCCCAGCCCAGAGGCTCCAGCCATCTCTTCCTCCCCAGCTCTATGCTACCCCCTTGTGGCCTCAGCGTCAGCTGCAGGACCAGACGGGTGTCTTGGGGAGGTGTCGGGTGGCAGGCGGCCCCCACTCAGCGTGCTCCCGACCCTCCTCTGACCTCTCTGTCTGTTTTCCCAGACCTCTGCGGGAGAAGATGAAGCCAGAAAGGTAAGTGGCCACCGGGGCTCGGGCTTGCCACCCTCTGTCGTAGCATGGGGCCCCCAACCACTTTGTCCTGACGCTTTTGGCTCATTGCAGGAGGAGACCCAAGGGCAGGGGGAAGAGGAAGAGAGAGAAGCAGAAACCCACAGACTGCCACCTGTGAGTGCGCTGGGTCCCAGGGATGGCAAGGAGGCTGGGCCCAGGGGAGCCCCACCTGCCGGCAGGGGTAGAGGTCGGGCAGGGGAAGTCAGGTTCAGGGCAGCTATGGGGCCAGAACAGGGAGCTGGACCCCCTTGAGACACTAGGGCCCAGGAAGCACCAGGGGACCGTGGTTCTTGTCTCAGTCCTAAGTCTCTGTATGACCTTGGACAAGTCCATCGCCTTTCTGAGCCTGGTTTTTCTCTGTGTAGAGTGAAGGGTACGATGATTCTAGACACATACCAAGAGCTTGCTGTGGGTCAGGTGTGTCAGGGAGCAGCAGGGGTCTCACGCCTCCATAAGGAAGGGTCCACCAGTTGAGGAGAGATCAGGCCACTTCCTAGTAGCCCCAGGGAAGGCACATGCGCTCTGCACTGGCTCCCAGGCCAGCATTTCTGCCTCGGGGTCCCCTTGCTTTCTGCAACTCTGCTTGACACCTGGGACAGCAAGCTGGAGCCCCAGGCCTGTGTGGCGGGGAGAGATGGGCTAGAAGGAAAGCCCAACTCTGTGAGAGTAAGTCAAAAGAAAAGATTTCGTATGCACGGAGAATCCATCACACTGTGGTTCCCCTTCAGGACCCAAGTTTCCTTCCGGTCCCAGGACTCCAAGAAAGCAGTCCACGCTGTGGGAGTGGAGTTGGCCCAAGTCCTGGCCCCAGAACCCCGCCCTGTGAATACAGTGATTCTGGGAAGCGCGTCGCTCTAAGACTGTGGCCCTGATTTCTTCCCCAGGCCCACATAGCCATTTGGGAAAGGAGCTGGCCCTGAAGACAGTTCAGGGTGGCATTGTCAGCCAAGCGGCCCCAGACAGAAGGTCCCATGGCCTCACGTCCCGGGCAGTGGTCTCAGACATTTCACTCAGGATCCTTCTGAGAGATTCAGTGACCCGTTGAGCATTTTGATAGCCGACATTGAACTTTTTCATTGTAATTATAAATATATATAATTACAAAGGATATACTTTCTAACATATTATAAATATTAATCTTTTCATATAAAGTTATTATACAACTCTTTCTTTAGATGTATCCTGTGAAGCATGTCATCCTAATTTCATAGTTCTCATCATCTACTTTGTAAGAAATGAACAAGAACAAAAACACGTGAACACTCCTTTTTCATAGCTACAGATTTACATTGTTTCTGTTTTCTTGGAACTTGACCTTCCATCTTACCTCCCCCACAGAATTTCAGCTTAGTGTAATATTATTTGTAATATTCAAGGGTTTTTTTTTGTTTTGTTTTGTTTTTTTTTGAGTTGGAGTCTCACTCTGTCGCCCAGACTGGAGTGCAGTGGCTGCTCCTGGCCACCGCAGCCTCGACCCGCTGGGTTCCGGCGATCCTTCCGCCTCAGCCTTCCGAGTAGCCGGAATTACAGGCATGCGCTACCACACTCGGCTGATTTTTTGATTTATTGTAGAGATGAGGTCTCGCTGCCCAGGCAGGTCTCGAACCCGCGGGCTCAGGCAATCCACTCACCTCAGCCTCCCAAAGGCGCGGGATTACAGGCTGAGCCACGGAGCCCAGCTTCAAGGTTTTTTTTTATTACTTTGTCATATTTCTCGCCACAAACATGGTACTATATACGAGATTGAATTATATGACATTTCTCGTGAATATAAAATGAAATGAAATTTTCTCCTGTAATAAATTATCAGAATAATTATCAGAGGTACCGTTAGGTCAGAACAGCACAGGTTGTCCTATTTTAATTGATATTCAACATAAAAGGACCCTCCATCTTACTGGGAATGAGTCTCGGTGAGATGGCTAGAGCTACCTCTTTTCAATTAGTTAATGAATCCATTATAAATGCTGTACCCTGCCTGACTGAGAGAGGGCTCAACCTCACTCCGTTCCTGCTCATCAGATTTTTACAGATGAAGAGGTTGAGAAACTGCTCACGTAAATAAGTACATAAGATTAAAGGCGACTCGCTTCCTTGAACCCCTTCCAAGTTACTTGTCAAAAATCTCAAGGTGACCTGCTAACAAAATGACTTCTAAGGACATACCAACTAACAATTCAGCTAAATTGTTCTTCGATTTTGTTGAAAGACTTGGAGACCACCTGACTTGCAGAAGCCTTGGTCACCGGCTCATGAGCCATGTTGCCTTCTCAACACCCCCACCCAGGACTTCAATTGTCCTTTTGTTTCATGTCCCCAGCATACTTTTACGTGACAGCAAAGACTTGACTAGGATTTAGAGAGGGCAAGACACGTCCTTCCTCTCTAAAGGGAGGAGGGTGACTGTGAATGGGGAGCAGACCTTGGACACGTTCTCACAAAAACAGTTTAAGGCAGTCTTAAAAACAGTCTTAAATGCATTGCAGAGGCTGAAATGGATTTCTTTTTCTTTTCTTGAGTTGGAGTCTCACTCTGTCACCCAGGCTGGAGTGCAGTGGCACGCTCACGGCCACCACAGCCTCCACCTGCTGGGCTCAGGCGATCCTTCCGCCTCAGTCTTCCAAGTAGTTGGAACTACAGGCATGCGCCTTCACACCTGGCTAATTTTTTGATTTATTGTGGAGACGAGGTCTCACCAATTTGCCTAGGCTGGTCTCGAACCCCTGGACTCAGGCAGTCCTCTCACCTCGGCCTCCCAAAGTGCTGGGATTACATGCTTGAGCCACCAAACCTGGCCGAAATGCATTTCTTTAAAACCATCAAAACCTAGTCTTCATGTATGTCTACGGGCACCCATTCCCTGGTTGAAGAGCACCGTTTTAGGGTAACCAGAGGCATTATTGAGTGAAGACAGACTGAGCTCAAAAGGTGACTGTCACCAACTAGCTGTGTGACTTTGGGCAAGTTCCTTAACCTCCCTGGACCTCGGCTTCCTCCTACAAAGGGATCATAGCAGTGCCTTCCTCATGAGTGTTGTTAAGGGCAAAGGAGGCTGTGCTTAGCACAGGGCTGGGCACTCAGGCAGTGCTTGGTGAAGGGTGGCTCTCAGCTTCCCGCTAGCTTTGGTGCAAGCAGGGACCTGGGAGTGCTGCATCCTCCTCATGCCACCCTCTGCCCCATGAAGCTTCCCCTCTGGGTCTGCCACCCCCTAGGAGGGGACCCTGCCCTCCACAGTGTGCTGACCCCACCCCGTCATGTGTGGTCTCTGCAGGTGCGGTGATGCTGTTCCCCGGAGGTAGCCAGCCCCTTGGAGGAGAGACCTGCCCCGCTCCTGTATTTATTGCTGTCACACCCTCAGTATCCTCCCTTCTGGTACCTCTATTTATTCGCCAACTGTATCCCTGCTGAATGACTCGCTCCCTCCCCGGAGGGACAAGGACCCTCAGGAATTCAGTGCCTTAAATGACGACGACAGGAGAGAAAGAAGCCAGCCACGGCCTGTGGAGCTTCCGCTTGGGAAGAAGCAAGACATGTGGCCTTGTGAGGGGCCCTGGGGGTCTCCAGGGGACTGGAGAAGGAAAGAAAGGAGCCCTGCCACCTGTTCCAGGTCTTGAGCTCTGCACAGACAAGCAGGCCTTGCTCTGGGAGCTCTGGCTAAGGGCTGTATGCCAGGCGGGTCGGGCCATGGCAGCCCTGGCGGGGTCTGGCCTTTTCCCCCTCTTCCTGGCAGCAACTCTCCACCCTGGAGCTCAGAAGCCTTGGCTCTGACATTGGGGTGACCTTGAGGCGTTTGCCGCTCCTGGTCCCCTGTGACCTCGCCTCACATTTCGCCACCTGCTTGTGCTGGGACGTTGTGCTTTCTGGCCAAGGCACCACCATCCTGCCCCTCCCCGCCAGGGGACACATGGAGAGCGGGACCGGGTTGAGGAGGAGCAGGCTGGATGAGGTGCCGCCTGGCCCCTGGAGATGAGGTCACCAGAGGGAGGCCTGTGTGTCCTGCCAAGGGCTGCGGCAAGGGGAGCCCGTTCCCTGAGGCCCCAGTGACCCCACGAGCTGCTCGATTGCCAAGCCAGATTCTCTTGAATAAAGCATTCTAGTCTGGAAGCAGCTTGTCCAGGGAGTGTGTCTGCCAGGGCAGCAGGCAACAGCAGAGAACGGAAGCAGGACAAAAACGGGATGGCAGGTCAGAGAAAGAGTACAGCGGCTTCTGGGAGCCTCAGGTTCCTCACCTTAAAAACCTGCTCAGGTGGTGAGGGAGCATGTCACTGTTCGCCACATGTTAACTTTTTTCCCCTCTTCCTTCCTCCGTCTGGTAGCTGAGCACACCAAGGCCCCAAAAGGCAAGACTGACACAGAGTCAAAAAGAGCACTGAACCGGGAATCAGAGGCCTGGGCTTTGTCTCTAATTCACCAAGTGACACCAAGTTTCCCTCTGCCTTCTGCCTTCCTGTTTCATCTCTAGCCTGAGGGACTTAGCTAGATGCTCCCTCTGGCTTTAATACGTCCCAGTGGGGCCCCAGGCTCAAGTCTCAGTGGCCCTGGATGTCACTGGAGACTATCCTTTACAGTCTGCTTCAAGGCTGCCTTTGAAGTAGCTCAGGCCTGCTCCTGCAGCACCCTGGGGTCCACCCCCCCCTCGTGAGGAGCTCCCAAGATCTGGTCTTGGTCCCAAAGCCAGGGAGGGGCTACCCCACACTCAGCCCAGCATCATGCCGCTCCAGACTCCTCAGCCCTCAGAAGAGATGTCCTGGTTGGGCCTCAGATCGTCAAGCTGCCTTGGCTGGGGCTGCCAGGCACAGGGTCTGCAGATGCAGCCTCACTTCTGTCTCACCTCCTGGCTTCCTCTGCCTTCCTCCATGCCTTGGCATGAAACTAATTTTCTAATTTTTTAGAAAATTCCAGCCACTTACTCTGAAACTCCCATCTACTGCTGATCCTCAAGGTGTGCGTGTGTGTCTTATGTGGAGTGTATTGGGGGATGGGGCGGTCCCCCATTCTCTCCTCAACTACTTCCTCATTTGAGACTGCTCGGGAGAAACTCAAAGGGAGCTGGGGGGACAGGGGCCCTCCTCAGGCTTTGGGGGGAAGCATGGAGGGGCCAGCAGGGTAGGGCAGCCCTGCTGAGGCAGCTGTCCTTAAGCCGTTCACAGAGGCCTGGGCCCCTAGGGGACCTGCTGGTGCGAATGTGCTTCCGGCTGGTGATCACAGATGGGGTGTGGGTTAGCCCCGGGGGACACACTTTGCAGAAGAAACACACTTTTTCCCTGGCTTCTCCTCACTATGGCTGCAGCTGTTCTGAGCTGCGGCGTCAAAGGCAGAGCTGAGAAGAGAGCCCCACACTGATGGGGCCTCCAGCTTTCTCTGGAAACCCTCAACCCGCCTCCCGTAACAACCCCAGCCTTTCGGTCCCAGGAAGTCACCCACACGGAGGTCAGCGCCCCTCCAGGCCAGCGCCCCCTGTTCAAAGCTGGACAGAAACCAGAAGAGCTTCTGTGTAGTCCGATGCAAAAGTCCACATCTGCAGCCAGGCCTCCTGGGAGCACTGAGTAGGGAGGACTGGCCGGGATGTGACCATGTTGGCAGTCCACTCATCACTTAGGCTCCCAACAGCCCTTTCCATTGGATTGCCGTGTACTTGTGGGGCACCCCTGTACTGCAGACACCGGTCCAGACACCAGGCTGGGACATAAACACACAGCTCCAGTACTCATGGGTCTGACATCCAAGTGGAGAGATCATGGTCGTGTGCTAGCGGCTGGGTCTTTCTGCTACTTGAATTGGCGGCTGGAGTCAGAGCTCAGGAAAGCGGGGTCTTGAGTACCCACATTACAAGACAAAGAGGAAACAACTTGGGACTAGGCACATTTGCCTGCCGGATTCATGACAGGATGACTGGTATGCTCCCAAATCACCAGCACCCCCTTCCTCAGCCTCCATTAGAGGCAGAAGGGAGACAGGAAGAGACAGGATCACTGGAGTTCTGGGGTGCTGGCCCCTTCCCCTCCCTGGAGCAGGGTTTGCTGTTCAACTCAGCCCCCGTGCTGCCTACATGGTGTGGTGAGGGAGTGCAGAACTGAATCATGACAAAGGCACAGAGAGGGGACACCTTGGGGCATCCAGCAGGCAACCTCCACGGGTCAGGTGGACATGGCGAAAGGCGGGTCTCCTTGAGCCCATGTCCTCCCAAGAGGGAGGCTGCAGGGAGGAGACCCACAGGCTACTGGCCATGGGATGTAGGCCGGGGGAATGACTGAATGGGTGTGTCAGATACCGAGCTGAAAGGACCTCCCAGGTTAGAGAGCCACTGGCCCTGCCGTAAGCCTGCAAAAAAAAAAAAGCTGGCATCTGGAGAAGAAATGGCCACAGCTGAGGGGACTCTCCCCCACTACCTCCATTTCTCCTTGCTGCTCTGTGTGAAAGGAGAGAAAGGGAAGGAGGAGGCGTTTGGGAACATGCCCCTCCCTCCACTCCGAGGCCAAATCTAGGCCCTGTTGGGGGAGGGAAGGGTAAGTCTTAAGTTGGATGAACCAGCCTAGATGGACCTTTAACACATGGCAATGGCAGGAATATCAGAAGATCTGCCAAAGAAACTGTGAAGGGACGGGAAGAGGAGAACTATGTAGTTCCTCTAGGAGCAATGAAGGCAAGGAATAAATAGTTTGTGCCTCAGTTTACTCAATAAACTAGTCACCAAAATAAACATATGATTTAATAGGAAAACTTCTTGTTGCCAAAATGTGATATCAGAGGTGATCTTGGGTTCTTTTGCATTCCTCTGCTTGAGAGATTAGGTCTCTTTCCCTCCCTTTGGGACTGTGGGCCTGGGTCTGATTTGATCCATAGAATACAGCAGAGGGGACCCTATAATGGTCCCATGCCTGGCTTTCAAGAGAACTGACAGCTTCTGCCTTGGTCACTTGGAACCCCGAGCTGCCATGTAAGAAGTCCAACCATCCTGAGGTTGCCATTTTGGAAGGAAGCTCAAGCTGGCCACATAGAGATTTGGGGGAGGGAGAGAGAGGGAGGGAGGGATGGGTAGAGAGAGAGAGAGAAAGAGAGAGAAGGAAGGAGGGAGGGGAGAGGGAGGGAGAGAGGAACAGAGAGAGAAAGAGACAGGAGGAAGGAGGAGGGAGGGAAAGAGAGAGAGAGGTGCTCAGCCAGCTCCAAGTTGCTCCAGTCCCAGCCATTGCAATTGCCTTCACAGAGGCCCCAGACCTTACAAAACAAATATGAGCTGTTCCCACTGTGCCCGGCTTGACTTCCTGACCGTAGACTCATGATGCATCCCAATAACAGGGTGGTGTGAGGTGGTTTCTTAGGCATCCAGAACAGAAAACCAGGAGAGGTGAAAAGAGTGTTGGGGGAGGGCACTCTACACCAGGAGGCTGGTAAAGCCTCGCTGTGGAGAGACATTCGTGGCAAAGCTGGAAGGACAAGATGCCACTGGTTTTGTGACGACCGGGCATGAGAGCACTCCAGAGGGCATTGCTGTTGGAAAGGGCTAGAAGGAATCCCATGTGACTGGAGCACGGTGGGTGAGGGAGGGGGGTGTGGGTGTGACTTTGGAAGTGGGCTTGGGCCAGATCACAAGGGCTTTGCAAGTCAGGGTAGGGAGTTTGGAATTTTTATAACGTGAGGGGTACCACTGCAGGCTTTCAAGCAGGAGGATGAAGTGATGTTAAGTTTTTTCTTTTTTTAGTTGAAGTTTCATTTGTTGATCAGGCTGGAGTGCAGTGGCACAATCATGGCTCACTGCAGACTCGATCTCCTGGGCTCAGGCAATCCTTCCGTCTCAGCCTCTCAAGTCGTTGGGACTATAGGCACGTACCACCATGCCCGGCTGGTTTTTTTTTTTTTTTTTTTTTTTTTAAAAA